GAGTGCGAGGGTGGTATGTGGCTGACTCTTGAATGTAGATGATGATTCTTGCTTTCTAACGTTTTTTCCCAAATATATCAGTATAACACAAAGCTGCTATAGGTAGTGCTAGTAATGCTGAGTACATAGGTTATTGAAGTTGAGTAGCCATCTTGGCTCGAGGCTCAAGCTATCATAATGATCATTGTTATGTATGAGCTCCTCATCTTCTACTTCTGAGTCGAGCAATGAGAGGCAGCAGAGTGGACGCAATAACCAAGCAAGCATGTGTTCCCAAGCCGAATGGCAAAGTTTGTCTGATTGATGTCCTTGGGCGAAGCGGAGTTAATGAGAAGAAGCTGTGAACAAGCTATATGTCTACCTGGTCTAGCATCGGCAGCTTTCTTGGTCCACCAGCAGAAGAAAAGATCATCTAACGAGGAAGTGGTTTGAATAGAAGCTGACAGAGCTTCAGCATTCGGCCATACTCCCGTCCATGTAGATGATCAAAAGTTCTTGTAGAATCATGTCGCTCAGTGGTATTTCAAACGTTTGCGACTACCCTTTGGACTACGGAGTTCCCCCCGGTTGTGGTGCCGATATTTTGCGCGCGTGCATCGGGTATTGAAAAGTTTGGCTCCGTCTAGTGCTACCATTGGTTCAGGTATAATTTATGTTGATGATCTCGGCTGGATCACAACAAGGAAAGAAATTTAAAGGATGCCTATTAGCATTCTTTTGATATACAAGGCTTTGGGATTGGATATCGCTTATGATAAGCTTTGAATTACCACAACGCCGCGCAACCTCGGCTTCGAATGGGATCTACATTCCCAAACAGTTCGAGTTCCTGAACCAAAGCAATTCTCTCTAGTAGAAGAGATCCAGCTTGTGGTGGACTCTTTCTAGTCGTGCTCAGTACCAACTTCTGTCGTTGATAAGGTCGCGGGACGGGTAAGTTGGTCAAGTGACTTCTACGTTACGGCATTTACTCCACCCTTGGTATGCTCTGAAGAAGACAGCTACATCTAGACAGCTACGAGCAGTCCATGTTGGAGAAAAGCTGGTAGAGCCGCAACGACGTTCCTTGAGATCTCAGGTTCGCTGAGCCTGACTCATTTCACGTGCTTGGGAAAGCATGAAGCGAAGCGGAAATGCTGGGAGGTGGAAGATTGCTAGAAGCAGTGTACCTCAATGTTCTGTGTCCTCTAGCTCAGAGCCCAGTTGTTGCACTGGGCATCGGTTGTCACTATTAGTAGTTGAATTGTTATTGCATCAATATGTCTACTTTTTTTTCTCTTTCTTGCTTCATGTGGGAGAATTGCGGATCTGCTCAACTATGGAAAACCTGCCATGAAGGTGTAGGCGGCATGCTTTGCCCACAGTTTGATGCGTTCTCGCAGATCACGGTTTGTTTCATAGCCCAAAAGAGGGTGCTGTCGTGTTCGACAGCTGGGTGGGATATGTATATATGTGTCTCATCTGCAGAAGCAAAGTTGCATTGATGGGAAGAGTCTGGAAAAGTTCCAGAAAAAGTGGTAGTTGCCGACTCTTCACCTTCGGCGATGGGAGATGAGCCCACAAGGAGCGAATGGCTCCGTTGGTCTTTCTGGAACGATCTGGCGCCTCTACCTCGAACCAGTAACTTGGTCGTCACAAGTTCAGACATATGTCCACTAGAATTGATTGCAGTTGGAGTGGGCGTTTCACGAGCTTCTGCGAGAGAAAGTCGTGTGATACATGTCTTAACAGACGACAAAGCAACGATCTTAGCTATCAATAAGAACTATTCTTCATCCCCGCGTATGTGTCAAGCACTGCATGCCTTGCGAGAGTTATGGCTGAAGATGGGTTATGTGGTAACGGCTCACCATTTGAGTGGACATTCTAATGTTCTAGCAGACTTCCTGTCGCGATCAGAGCTTGATGTGATTCGCGAATCTATGCTTGGTGTCGCCGATGAAGGAGACTTCTCAGCAATCCTAGAGGATTTATTGAAGTCGATCACCGCGTACGAATCAGCGTGAGTCGGTTAGAACAGATTGCTAGCGGCAAATGATTTCGCTTCCAATCTGGAAGATGAATTGTTGCTTTAAAAGTTGCTGTGTCTAACTGACTGAATTTTGATAGACTGCAGAGTTCTGCAACTGGGCTACTAGCATTGTTAGTTAGTGACTATCCTCCTCATTGTGTTGAGTGCTATTGCAGAATCGAATCCTTCAGGAAAGATCCTCCCACTGACAGCCCT